TGAATTAATATAATTGTTAAACCTTAAACAAGCAACTGAAAATACTGTAGTCACTCTTTTCTAAATCGAAATTGAAAGTTCGTCAAAAATTAATACATACACTCACCTACTCAAACCCATCTGGACATACGCCTCTCAGATTTTTACGGCATAAAAGACGCACAGTAACCATTCAGTCATTTTAATGTTTTACGACTTATAACAGGAGCTCCCTGGTACGTTAACAACAAAACTCTACATAACGACTTACGAAAACCAACTATCGACTAACACATAGGTACTCTCTACTCTCGTTTTCATCTCAAACTACACGGACACACACACAGATTTATAAACGACATGGCTAAGACTGACGTGGCCACGAGGAGGAGATTAAAGAGGAGCTGGATGAGAGATCTCCTCAACTAAATTTAAAAAAAAATAATGACCAGGAAGAGGTGCTGCTGGGTACTATCCTTCCTCATGCCTTTAATACCTATTCTCATCATAAGAACATATCTGCTGATTGTCAACACCATGACAGGTGCGCATAAATAATTAAAGAGAAAAAAAAATTGTTTTTTAAAAATTAAATTACATTGTTATCTTAATTATATAAACAATAAATAACATTGACTGATAATTATAAAACATAAATATTTCTTTAGATCTTACGATAACCTTTCGGGAGTCTAGACCTGATAACTTTGGACCGATACGTCACCAAATATAAAAATAAATATTATTTATTTATTTTTTTTTTTTTTTTAGTGAATAACCCAACCAGCTTCTCTTCAAATATTCACTACAATCAACTATCAATCCACTATTATGAATATTTTTTAAGTTATCGTCCCCTATTCCACCACTCATATTCGAAAAAGTGAAAAACTTAGAAAAAAAGGATAACTTAACGTTTCTCTCTTTTTTTTGTGCATAATCGGATCGTGGTATAATTCCAATTTTTTGTCACTCTTGAATTTTACTGCAACCTCTTTGAACATTCGCCGAACATTAACGAGCACCCTTCACACGCTCAAATTAAATGGTTAAATGCTTGGAAGGTGTTAATATCCCATTGGTACAAGGACTATAATCTCAATTTGAGGACTTGACGAGGGCGATAGCTCATGTATAAGAATCCGAAACGGGACATCGCCGCAGCTAGTCATAATGGCGTAGACAATGCCGGCTTGATCCGGACGACAATGGCCCTAGTTAGCTACCCACTAACTCGGCTGGAACAAACACTCCCATTGTGCCCGGATAACATTTACATTTCCACCGCCGTCACTTACCCCTCCGGGTACTGAGTGGCGGTAATGGCTTGGTCTATTCTCCCGCTGGCTTCTATCTGTCTCTGCTAGTTTATAACTAGAGTCCGGATCAGATCATAAATAAGGACCGTTGCATGGGTTTTAGGCGCTCAGGAAGAAATTTTACATGGCACTCGTCCTCGCAACCTCCAAATCGTCTGGTAACATATTTCTCAACTAATAGTCCTAATCTAAGAATGGACAGACGACTAACATGAAATCCACATACTAGACTTAAAAGACAGGAACTTAACAGACGATATGGCCAGCTATATAGACTACTGAATAGAAAATCTAAACTTTCTGGTGAAAACAAATTACTGATCTACAAGACAATACTGAAACTCATCTGGAATTACAGACTAGAACTATGGGGAACAGTTAAATTTTCTAACATCAAACGCATTCAGTTCTTTCAGTCTAAAGTCCTCCGTACAATAGTCGATGCTCCCTTCTATGTAACCAATAAAACCCTGCATAATGACCTTAATATTCCATTTATTCTTGGTCTTATCCCAGAAACATTTCCTAAATTTCACTACAACCTTACTCATCACCCAAATCTCGTCGTACAATCCCTATCAAGCACCACCCATCCCTACAATCCTTCTCGTAAGTTAAAGCGGCAGTGGCTCCGAGACCTTTTGTAAATATGGATATTTTGGAGTTCTAGCAATGGCCAGATTCTCCACTCAAGGCATGAGTGTCTGTGGCTGTAGCGCTCTTACTCATCCTCCGTTGGTTTTAAATATTAGTGAGGTGGCTGAGGGAGAAGCGTAGGGATCTCCTAAGCCTCCCTTTTCCCTCCACATGTGGAGGGGACGGGATTGGTTCGGAGATCACCTGGCAAATTGTAAATAATGTATATAGGTATGTTTTATCTAAGATGTTTGTTTTACTTTTATTTATATTTTTACTTACTTATGTGTATATATATATATTTTTTCTTTTCTCCTTTGTTATTTTTTCTTATTCTTTTGTTATTACTTTATTTATTTATATTTTTGTATATACGGTATGAATGTACTCTCTGAACTCATAAGTGTCCTTAACTGTGACAAATTTTAATATTTCTCAATAAAATGTTTCAAACCGAAAAGAAAAAATCTAAGAATGGTACTGGTTCACAAGAGTTCCGCACGCGTAGTTCACAATCACTTCGATCACACTTGTTTATGGAATCCCGAAAGCAGCCGAATGTTGTCATTTATGACATCAACTATTGCCCCATCACACAATCCTTTTTCCCCTGCATATAAAAAAAAAAAAAAATGTATTCCCTTCATAGAACTTCCTTATTAACATTTTATTAACGAATTGTGTATTTATTAATTAGTTAATTATTAATTTTTATTATAACGGTTATCACTGTGAAAGGAAAAGAAAAAAATATATAAAATAATGTTTGAGTCGTTTCTTCAAGGCCTGTTAAAAAAAAAAAAAGCTTTTAGAAATAACATTTTTATTGACATATGTTTACATGTAGTGGCTGTAAATTGCGCATATTCTGTTGTATATTATCTTTTATGACTGTGTATGAAAGATTTTTTTATCATTTGGATAATAAATAATTTGAAGTAATCTATTATCTTTTTATTTGCTATTCGAGTTTTTCAAAAGAATTTGGGATAATTGCATTTATAATTTATTTTAGCAAGCCTTTTTTAGTTTATGTCATCTATCTAGTTTATGTATTTTTTTGGATTTTTAATAATACGAGTGTCCACTATTTTCTAGTAGGGGAGGGTGGGGGGAGCGCTTTGTATGCGTATACTGTCTGATTTGAGATTAAGCATTAAGTTTATGTAACTTTTTTGAATTCTTAGATATACGGGTCCACTATTTTCTAGTCGTCGGATTTAAAACCGTTCGTCGGTTTTTGGACTTCTTATGTATAAAAGTCCACTATTAAGTTGGCAAGGACGCTTTTTATGAAAATAATGTCAGATTAAAGATTTATGATATATTTATGAATATACTGGTAATTGCAAGATAACGAATAATTAAAATCATCAATAATAAAAATAATATCGTGAAATAGCATTAAGAGATGTAATAATTAAAGAGTTTTATCTGTTACTATTTATTTTTTTACAGATCTATAATATATGTACAAGTTCAATTCAGGTTTCTTGTGTAGCCTAAATTCCAAATGTAAGTCGGCTCCTGCTATATAACTTAAAATGGTTAAGGTTATAGAAGTATTTAAATGGCGGGGAAGTTAATAGTAACTGATTCAAGAGATCGGTCGCCTTCGTTCTCTTTCGGATAAACCCGAAGGCATTCGGGATTCCATGAACAAGTGTGACCGAAGTGATCGTGAACCATGCGTAATCCGTGTGGAACTCTTGTGAGCTAGTATCCTAAGAATTTTTCTTTTACATCAAAACTCCCTCAAGAAAAATAACCAAGTTTATCCATATTTTGCCATAGGCTGTGTTTATGCCTTCTGAGTTATACTTGGGATGCCAGGATATCCAGCAGAACTAGGATTTTACAGGAAGCAGGAGCTGATGTCACTATCCATTTTTACATTCCCCTCCCCTGATAAAGATCAATAATTTTATAACTTTTTTTTTCTAATATATTTCCAGATATCAAATTCCAGATAAATATCAACATATCAAATCATGAACTCATTTTATTGATTGAATTAAGATGAAAACAATCAAAAAGCAGAAATAAATATTTGTTATTCAATATATAAAAAAAATATTGTAATCATAATGCGTAACCACCTGAATTCTTCCTCGTTTTGTCTCCTTTACCTCCTCTAGTTCTCTAGCTCTTAGTGCATGATCAAAGATTGGATATCATACAGAAGTATTATTACCTCTCTACTGAAGCTATTGAAAAATAATTCACTTTTCTGAAGACTATCAATATTTATTTAAATACAAGCTAATTAGTTAATAGCTTGCTTTAATTAAGAAATATTGAAATATATATATTGTAACCAAGATTAAGGAAGCGTTGGAAAACATAGAACACTTCTTTCTTTTGTTTCCTGGAACTTTTTATTAATTCCTCGATTTTTGGATGTGAATGTGCTCTTATATCTTATTATATCTTGACAATCATTTTTTGTATGTATAGATGTGGCATTCCATACTATTGTATATAGAATAAGAATCTTTTTGTTATTTCTATTATCTTTCTTATCTTAAGTATCTTTCTATTTATCATTATATTGTATATAGTAATTATGTTTACATTTTCTCTTTTTCCTTTTATTTTATTTCTTTTTCTTGTGCATAGTATTGATTCTATAAATATTTCTTTATGTAAATAGACCTCTTAACTTGAAATACCTTTTATTTTCTGCTTTATGAAAAAATCCAAGCTAATACCTTCTCACCTGAGTTACCTCCTAGCATGGTAACATAAATGTTTTATTATGGCCAATAATGGGTAAGTACCTTATATTTTCTATACTTACTTCTCTAGAGATGAAAGGCTGGTAAAGCCAGGTGCCCAACAAGTAAAAATTCCGACAGAAAATTATATTTATTAAAACTTATTTTTTTATCTTTTTATTTACCCTTTTTTTTTTTGGTCATAATATTCTCCAACACAAAAAGTTCAGATTTTTTTCTTGAATTCACTTAAAGGTGAAATAGCAGAACTTTCAGGTTCTTGAGTAATTTATCAATTGAAATAAAATAATGTAAAATACCTTCCAATCATTGTTTATTTATTTAATTCCCTCAATTACAAAATAAAATAAAAAAGGCCACAAGATTTATTCATTTTATCATTTATTAATCATGTACAAAGAAACATTTTTTTCTCTAAGTTCTACAAATATAACAATCAATATTATAAAACATAATAATAATTACTATTATATTACATGGCTAAATGAGCAAAAATATTTCTTATATTTTACTAACAAAAAACTACAGTCTTCTACGCTTCCTATATTGATTACAATCATATAAGAGTACTATTAATTTAACAATAACTTAATGACAACAAATTGTAACACTAACTACAAATATCAAATAACTAATAATTTCATTTTTATAGTTCAATAACTTTTTTATGATTACAGTCATTCTCAGAAATAAGTATTCATAAATAACAAAAAAATTGGTTAATATGATTTATTGATTAATGATAAATACTAAAAAAAACTTATTAATAAATAATCATTTTAGAATGAATCATATTTTAATTGTACATATGAAATAAATATTTACATATATTTATACAAGTGAAAATCATTGCTAAATATGTGTAACTGCTCTAAAAATATTGAAGAAATTATAGATATATTAATTAAAATCATAAGTGGTTGAATAGTTTTAGATAATTCAAAAATATTTTAAATAATTTTATTAGTGCATTGTCTTTTAATGTAAAATATAAAATTTTGGTGTTAATAAAAAGAACTTTATATATAAAAATAATATTGTATTTAGAAGTGTCTTTACTCCTATTTTATGAAGTTATTATATCAAAAATAGACAAGATTTTTAAATAACTTGAGGTATGATATATCAGAAATGAGAAGAGCTAACAAGAAAATGGCAGACCATGTGCGAACTTAGGTGATATAAAGTTATATTTATTGTTTCCCTTTTAATACATTTAAAAGGTCAGATAAAAATAGTATTATGTAATTTTAATAAATAATTAATTAATTTCCATTTTTTTTTCTTCATTTAAATTGTTTCCTGAAAATGTTCATATATGAAGAAAAATGAAATATATACGACAAAATGAAAACAAACGTGCCATTCATCCGGTCAACTAAGTGTGGAGTTTCTTTTCCTCCTAAAGACTATTTTCATTTCCAAGCTGCCATATTCTTGTGTGCGAATTACGTTCATTATCTCACAACATTATAAAGAAATACATAAGTTTTGATAAGAAATCCCTATGAATATTCCCACAAGAAAGATGAAGGTTATAGAAGATTTGTTGATCAGTTTTATCAAGAATTTTCCTTTCAAAAATTTCAAACTTTTGATACATCTTTGGCCAATATATTTGTAAAAAATATTTGTGAGACTATAGGAAGGCAATGATTATTTCTCGGGCATCATTTATAATCTACAAAAATTTATATTTTTTTTCTTTATTATTATCAGTGAAAAACAGTTTTTTAATGTTGAAAAGTTTTTGAAAAAAAAATCAAATGAAGATTAAATTAAATTGATTTTGCTTTAATTATATAAATGAAATTAAACTTAATGTATTTTATTGGGCATAGTTAATTTTGTTTTTACTTGTCTTCTTTACATTTTTAAAAAACAGAACTTATTTAAAATAGTTTTAACTTGACTGGCATAAACTAACTGCATTGTCATGGTTAGAGTTAATCAAATGAGGACTAGATTTGTCAGAATTAATAAAAAAATCAAATAGATTCCTTAACAGACCTAGATTATCTATGTTAAAATTTTTTTTTTCTCTAAGAATAGTTTATTTGGAATTAAATAATTTTCCTAAGTTAAGAACTAGAAATCTTAAATGTATTTTAGACTAATGGATCACAGTTCAGTTTGATGGCAAAGCATAAATAGTAACAAGAAGATTAATTCATCGCTGATATATAAATCTTCTTATTAAATACAGCATCTATTTGCATTTCAATGCATTAGTACATATTCTTAAGAGCAAGATGTCGTAAGAATCTTATTTCCAAATCACTCGCTCTTATTAAAATGATAGTCCTAAATTCAAATTAAATTATTCTAGCCTCTCTTAAATTTTAACAGAAGCACACTTATTATCATAAAAATGATAGTCCAGGCGCCTAAAGCAAGGAAGCCATTATAAACTACCGGATGGTGGATGTCCCATCCTCTGGCGAGGATTGAACGAAGTGATTCCGTCGAAAGAGTCAGCGGGAGGAAGAAGCTAACCATTTGTAAGAGCTTGCTCATTCCTTGTACAGGCCAGATGATTCCTGCGGACAAATGTTTTCATGATTAAAATTAAATGTCAAGTTTAATTCAACGAGGCATAAAACATTGTTCATGACTGAAATAGTTACAGCTCATAATTTATTTTTCTTTTAGCTCAAATAAAAAAAAAAAAACACCATTAAAATTTTACAACTACTTTGAGTGAAATACTAAATGACTAAAATACATACCACAAAGCATTATAAATGGCAAGAAACTACCAACAGAGAGGTAAGTAGCATTTCTGAGGTTGTCACAAATAGAAGATAACACAAAACCTGAAAACCAACAGATATGAATGTTAGAAAGAATAAAAAAATATTTCATCCATGGAAAAAGTTATCATAACAAAAGAACATGAATAGATATATAGAGTTTAGTATAGTTAAAAAACAATGTTTAATCTAAATATATAAAAACAGATGTTTGTCTGTTTGTTCTATATGCATTACTACACCATTCATTCAAACAAAATGAAACTTTGGGAAGTTGTTAATTACACTCCCGCAAACGTTTCTGAAAAAAAAAAAAAAAAGTGACAACAAGAGTCTAAGAATAATAGAAAATAGTGTTAGGATTTTCAAATATTCATCAAATTTTAACCAAAATCCCGGAAGAGAGAGAGGGCGTAGAATTATATTTTCTACGAAACATCAATCAAGCACGACTTTGCAAAGGTACAGGACTTTCAGTGAAAAAGGTGATGAACAATATTGTTGAAGCTATAATTTTGAATTGGAAATTCAAGGGGAATGATTTACTGTTGCCACGTATTCTAATGATCCCAACAGATATACCATTTGAATTCAAATGTTTGCAGTCCACGGTTCAAATCGCTTTTGCAATGGCCATAAACTAAGTACACTGATAATCGTTGAAATTGTGTGGGCTAGATTTGGACAATTCGTGTATGCACTAGATGGTAAAACAAAAACAACGTGTATCTACAAGCACTCGAGTAAATAAATAGAATTGAAACAACAGAAATGTTTTCTATATGAAAATGAATAGGATTCAATAAAAATGACACAGTTTAAATTGAATGTTATAATGAGTTTCTTTGGATTTCCTTTCTTCTGAGATCACAGCAACGCCTGAAGGGTAAGCTTGTAGTAAATAAGAATATTATAATATAAACAGAAGAATAGAATATAAAACATTTTTATTTTAAAAGTTCTAATGTTTTAAATATCTACTTAAAAAATATTATTCCATTGATTTGTGATTAGTTTTTACAATTACAAAACTTTACAATAGTGGCCTAACAGAGAAGTGATCTCTTACCATAAGTCATTCCACATACTCCACTTAAGACCATCATCAATGTAATCCAGACTATATCTCCTTCATTGGATATATTAAATACATACAAAGCTGTAACAGTAGTCACGATAGCCTGACATAACATCACAAAAAACTGTGTTACAACGTGTGCACTCAGAATTTCTAAGCCTGTGATTCCTAAAAATAAATAATAAAATTATAGTTTTTTTTTTCAATAAAATATCTAAAAATATTAATATACATCCTTGCAAAGCTACAGTTCATAATATAAACAAACCTGAAACAAGGCACCTTTCCAAAATACCTTCATCCCTCTCTATCATCATCGTACCTGATGTCAAAGAAACCGCAATAAAGAAAACAATCCTAAAATATTGAAATTATATTAAAGTACTGTTAATTGATAATTCGTAATATTTGTTACAATTAATTGAAAAGAAGAGATATTAACTCACGTCAACATTACTCCTGGAGCTGCGAAATCAGTAAAATTTGGAACTGATGGTCCATATATTGGATCATTCATCTGTAAATATTTTATAAGTTGGTAATTATAAAATAAAACAATAGAATACAAAATTAATACGATATTGGTTTATTTATTTCTTTTATCATGTCGTGTCATATTATTTAATCATTAGTTCTTATTTTTAATAAACAATTGTAAGATTAAATTAAGGAAGTTAAATACATACCTTCATAGGAACATCCAACATACTTTCTGGCACACTGCAAGCACCTGCCATGTCTTTTGCAAAACTCTTAAGAGCTGTTATGATTTGCCTTTGCAGCAAATAAGCAATTTGTTGATCTGAAATTTGATTTTTCTATTTCAACTGAGTATATTTTTTAAAATAATAAAAGTTTATATGTAAAAGTAAGGCAAGCCATTTTTGAAATATAATCCGATATAAGATATATATCGGATTATATCAGCTTCTTTAAAATAAGCTCTGTGTTCCTGCTGAGAAAAAAGAAAGCCGAATTTATTATATATATATATATATATATATATATATATATATATATATATATATATATATATATATATATATATATATATATAATAAATTCGGCTTTCTTTTTTCTCAGCAGGAACACAGAGCTTATTTTAAAGAAGAATTTAATGTATTTTTTCTTAAAACTGTATGTTTACACTATTTTACCAGTATCTTGTCATAGTTTTAAGTGTTTTGTATGTAGTTTTATTTTATATCATGTTTACCTAATGCTTTCTTTCTTTTTATTTTATTTATTGTTCTTTTTTACTTTCACTTACCTATATATGAAATATATAGGAAAAGACAGTATTCTGATTGTGAAAAATTTGGAATCTGAGTTTTCAACGAAAATGAACGTTTTGAGGTCCCCTGAGTCCAAATAACCAAGCCCCGAAAAATGGTCTGCAGACAAAAAAAAAAAAAATGGACACATGCAGTAAAACATATAAAAAAAAACTAGAGACCATATCTTTGCTCTTAATTGTCGGATTATGAAAATTTTTTTTTTAAACTTTTTGAGTTATTCGGAATTTAATTTTACCATCCCGCGTAAGTTTTTTTTCCAGCTTCTTTTCGTTGAAGTATGTTATATAGATAAATTTAAAGGGCATCGAGAAAATGACTTCAGCAAAGTTTCATTGAAATCGGTACATGCGTTTAGGCGCGACAGTCTATAGCAGTGCAGGTTTTTCATTCTGAAAAGTGCAGGTACTTCATTTTGAAAGTAAAAGGCTGATAGTAATCTCGATGAAGGAGAATCATCCTCGGGTGACCTCTGATTTTATATCCAAATTTGAAAAAAATCGGTCCAGTAGTTACAAAGAAAATGCGCGGACGGGGTACAGCTACCGCATACAGACAAACAATTTTTATTCGTTTTTCGAATTCTACGTATCCTGAAACGTGAAATCTCAAATTTTGAGAGGGGTTTAAGTTTTTGAATTTTTTGGTCGATCACAATGATTCATTATTGAAAATAATAAACCAAAATACATAATAAATCACTACTTTAAGAATTACCAAATTCCCACCTATCATATTACTTATTAAAAACTGTATTAATACTTTCTCAAAAATTACTACAATTAATTAAAAATTAAGAGACATAACTACATGTTACATTGTAAATTGTGAGTACCTTTAAACATTTGTTAAAATTTTAGATTTGCCAAAATGTTTCAACTTATTAACTATTATATGAGAATATATGACTGGGCAGAAGCTAACAAGGTGAAGTTGAATGCGGAAAAGACCAAGGCAATTCTAATAGGCTCCAATCACCTCCTCAAAACTGTTCCTAACTTCCCAACCCTGTTCCTACATGATAATCCTATCGAATTTTATCCCACCATCAAAAACCTTGGAATAATCTTCGATCAAACCCTTTTCTGGAAAAACCATGTGTCCAATATCTCCCGACGTACCTTTCCCACCCTAAAACACTTAAATAGCCTGCGACACCTTTTTCTTTTTGAAATCCGTAGACTACTGGTCACCTCTTTAATATTTCCCCACTTCGATTATTGCTGCACTGTATACGGAGGCGTCTCTGGAGATCTCGAGGCGAAACTAAAACGTTTGATAAATTGCTTTGTACGATTTCATCTTCGGGATCCCAAGAGACGCCCCTGTTTACTGTTTCTATGAAGAGTTGAAGTGGCTTTATCCTTCCAACCTCTGTAAGTATTTCGTGGCTTCCTTCCTTTTTCAAGTCATTCACTCCCGCCGTCCTTCATACATCTCCGAGCTCCTTTAATTTAAATCCTCTGTTCAGGGGCGGATCTACGGGGGGAGGGCTTTCGGGCTGAAGTTTCTGTCCCCCCAAAATGGAAAAATATAACCATGTTTTATGGAAATTTTTTTTAAAAATACCTCTTAAAGTATTATTGTTCGTGTAATTACATTTAAAAGTACTTAAGGAATAACTTAAACACCATTTCATATAGGTAGTTAGTTTCTTTCAGTTTTTCCAAAGTAATTATCGTTATTTTTATGAAAAAAAAAGTTTTCGGGCTGAAGCCCCCTCCAAAAATTAAATCCTGGATCTGCTAGTGCCTCTGTTCACTTCCGCAATACCCGTTCCCGGTCTTCAGATTTATACATAATGGCCCACCGAACCGCTGCTTTTGATAAATCTTTTATTATTCGATCCTCTTCCCTACGGAACTCCATCCCTCCCCACATCCATCAGTCCAAAACCCTTCCTACCTTTAAATCCCAACTGTTTAATCTTTTCTTATCCATCCAGTCCTCATTAAATTGTAAATAGTTACTACTGTAAATATGTATATAGATTTATTAGATCGTTCTTTATTATTTTTACTTCATGTTTATTTTCATTTTTTTATTTTTTATTATTTAAATTAGAAAGTAACTTATAATTTCTCTTATTATTTTTTTTATTTTTTTTTTTTACTATTTAATCAAACTATATTCTTGTTTATGTATCTCTGATGCTCCTTAGCCCACATTTTTGTCTCTCTGTATTATTCTAAAGGGACGCGTCCCAGAATAAATAAAGCATTATTATTATTATTATTACAGTTAAATAATGTACAAAATATAGAAATTTTTTAGGTAATTCCTGATTATTATTTCAACACAGGAATAAATAATAAAAATAATATGTTACGATGAATTGTGAATAGAAAGATAAAACGAAGAACAAACACAAAACTATGATTTATCAGCTTACTGGACATGTCGAGGTAGATGGATACTTGGCTCCCGTCTATGATAGTATTGTTTGCGTCTTTTCCAGTTTCTACTCTCAAAGCGAGCATTTCTGAAAAGTTTGGCGGAATGTCAATGTAAGCCCAGGCCCAGTTCCTCTTCACGGCATATTTCGCTTCTTCTGCGGAGGAGTATGGTATCTGCAAAGAAGAAATGATAATTTTTCATGGAGAAAAAAACAACAACAAAGTAGAGTATTTCAGTAAAAATAAGAAAATGTACCTAGGAGAATGTTGTGGTTTTTAACGTTTAATAATTTTATTTTGTTCATTTTTATTACTTTTACTTACCTATATATATATATATATATATATATATATATATATATATATATATATATATATATATATATATATATATATATATATATATATATTCATATATAAGACTACTTAAAAACAGTTTACTATTGTTCAATTCAATGTGCCGAGAGATTGGGGGTTGATCAGGGTCAACGAAATGTGAAAGCTCTACGGTAGTCGCTACGAGAAAATGCATTTGAGGAATGGGCCAACTGCAGGTGGCAGGGTATAGGTGTTCGCCATTTTAAAGAGACCCCGAAAGCGAATAGATACATCTACGAAAAGCAAGTACTTTCTGGGTCTGAATGGTCGAATGCCCTAAAACTAAACATTAATTATGCACCCCTGCGTGGAGTCCCAGGAGTCAGCGGACAGGTCGGAGAAGTTGGGTCCCTCTGCCGTAAATGCGGCAGAGAGTCTGAAACACCAGCCCATGTGCTGGGAAAATGCCCCAACAACTCCCTCCTCATAACACGTCGTCACCACCGGGTCAAGTTCGAGTTGATGAGGCTCCTTAGGGAAATGAAATTCACCTGCTTTGACGAGGTATATTGCATCGATAATGAAGGCTCTACGAGATACGCGGATATCGTCGCATTTCCCAAGACAGGAAGGACAGCGCTGATCTTGGATCCAACTGTCCACTTTGAGAGCAATGACCTCGATCAGGCGGGTGAAGTGGAAAGGGAAAAGAAGAACACGTATGATAAATGTATCCCTTTCCTAAAAGATAAATTCCGTGAGACCTTCGGAGAGAGAGAGTTCACCGTGAGAGGCCTCTGGTTTGGGTCTCGCGGAACTATCCCAAAAAGAACAAGGAGCTTCCTCGAGGAACTAGGTGTCGACATTAAGGGCGTAGCGAGGTTGGCTGAAAATATAGTCCTCGACTCCCTGGGAATCATTCACCACCACGTGCATGGCTAGCCCGAGAGTTTTAATTTATGTATTTATTTATTTATTTAATGAATAATTGAAAACAATAGAGATAAAGAGAGAGAAGTGAGAGAAAGGGAAACTAAATGTTAAAAAGAAAAAAAAAAAGCATGAACAATGAAAGGAAAAAAAAGGAAAAAAAAAGGAAAAAAAATAATAATAAAAATGTATATATATATATATATATATCTACTTTACTAATATTAACTAATACTTCTGTATATTTATATATAAGTTCATATATTGTCCTATGGATAGAAGAGTATGCTGTGTATATAGCAACCCAATATAATTGGGCAGCAATCCTTTATATTTTATGAAAATAAAGTGTTTCTCTCTGATTTAAATTTTTTTTTACAACAGCTATCAATAATAACGTATCATAAATATAATATTTATGTATTTACAATAGGTTAATATAAGTTAAGTTACTATCAATGTATCAAAATCAATATACTCTGTAGGGCAATATGCTCTCCGCTTCTCTCACAGTATTAAGTATATATACATACTTAATACTGTGAGACATACTTTTTCGGTTGGCTCCATAGACGTTGTAGATCTTTGGCCGCCTGAACCAGCCTTCTCCACCTCTGCCTATCTTGGGCTACTGCTTTGCGGCACGAAGCTCAGCCCACATGCCCTGCCCATCTTAACCTCCTTGCCTTCATGTCATGAGATATTGACTGACCCGTTTCTTTCAGCAGTTCTTTATTGTTCCTTCTCCTCCATGTGTCCTATTATCCTACGCAGAACTTTTCTTTCGAATCTCACAATTCTGGCTTCTAGTGTGCCGGTTAGAGCCCAGGTTTCACAACTGGCTTAATCACGGCAGTGTGCACCCTTATTTTGAGATTTCTGGAGATTTTTTTTTGGATTTCAGTACCTTTGAAAGAGAGAAGAAGAAAGATCTGTTCGCACTTGTTATTCGCTGGTCTATCTCTGTTAGTTGATCATTTATTCAGGTTATTGTGGAGCCGAGGTATTTGAATCTGTCTACTTTCAGGAATGACTTAGAATCCACGCAGATCGTGTTATTAGGGTGGATGTTTCGGCTAACTATTATGTATTTTGTTTTATCTACATTGACCTGTAGTCCGATTTGCTGTGCCTCTTTTAATAGAGTCCGAGCGAGTCTCTCAATATCCTCTTGATTACTTCCGAGGACAGCTATATCGTCCCCATATGATAGGATTTTATGTTTCATTCCAACGTGCACCCCTCCATCTTCGCGTTATGTTGTTCTTATTACTTTCTCTAGTGCTAAATTGAACAACATCGGCGAGAGTCCATCTCCCTGCCTCAAACCCGTTCGAACTTCAAAGGCTTCAGATACGTCTCCTTGTATTAGTACCCTGCATTTAGGATCATTTGTACACGCCTTTCTGAACCTCGCCAATTTCTCGGGAACACCCAGCTCAGTCATGATCTTCCAGAGACAGTTTCTGTCTCAAAGTCATAGGCTGATTTGAAGTCGACAAATAATGCGTGTAAGTCCTGATCTACTTCCCATCGTTTTTCAAGTACTTGTTTCAGGATGAATATCTGATCTAGCATACTCCTCCTCCTGAATCCAGTTTGATAGTCACCTATTATGTTTTCATAATACTAATATATATATATATATATATATATATATATATATATATATATATATATATATATATAGAGAGAGAGAGAGAGAGAGAGAGAGAGTATATAGTAAGGGAAAGTATTGCAATCATGAAAATTTTTGAATCTCAGTTTTCAACGAAAATACACGTTTTGAGGTCCCTTGAGCCCAAATAACCAAAACCCACAAAATGGTCTGCGTGTGTGTGTCTGTGTCTGTGTGTGTGTGTGTATGTTTTAACAATCTAGCTCAATAACGGAAATTTATACGAAACTGAAAATACATATTTAAGTTATATAAATAACAGGTATGTTACAGCAACTTTTCACTTAAAATGTGCTAACCGGAAGTGCCACTTTATATAATCAATTTTACAATTTTCTCAAAAACAGCTTTAACGATTTTGATTAAATTTGGTGTATCAATGTATACTTAAGTACTCTTTAATTTCATCTATATTTTATCCCGATTTATGCCACTTAACAGGGCTTAAATACCCAATGTTCAAAATTTCTTCTTCTAGAATACCTTTAATTTGTTTTATTTTAAGTAACTATCTCTCATTATTAGCAATTATAAAAAGGCTTCAGATACCTCTCCTTGTATTAGTACCCTGCATTTAGGATCATTTGTACACGCCTTTCTGAACCTCGCCAATTTCTCGGGAACACCCAGCTCAGTCATGATCTTCCAGAGACAGTTTCTGTCTCAGAGTCATAGGCTGATTTGAAGTCGACTAATAATGCGTGTAAGTCCTGATCTACTTCCCATCGTTTTTCAAGTACTTGTTTTAGGATGAATATCTGATCTAGCATACACCTCCTCCTGAATCCTGATTGATAGTCATCTATTATGTTTTCATAATACTAATATATATATATATATATATATATATATATATATAGAGAGAGAGAGAGAGAGAGAGTATATAGTAAGGGAAAGTATTGCAATCATGAAAATTTTTGAATCTCAGTTTTCAACGGAAATACACGTTTTGAGGTACTCTGAGCCCAAATAACCAAGACCCACAAAAAGGTCTGCGTGTGAGTGTGTGTGTGTGTGTGTGTGTGTGTGTGTGTGTGTGTGTGTGTGTGTGTGTGTGTGTGTATGTTTTAACAATCTAGCTCAATAACGGAAATTTATACGAAACTGAAAATACATATTTAAGTTACATAAATAACAGGTATGTTACAGCAACTTTTCACTTAAAATGTGCTAACCGGAAGTGCCACTTTATATAATAAATTTTACAATTTTCTCAAAAACAGCTTTAACGATTTTGATTAAACTTGGTGTATCAATGTATATTTAAGTACTCTTTAATTTCATCTATATTTTATCCCGATTTATGCCACTTAACAGGGTTTAAATACCTAATGTTCAAAATTTCTTCTTCTAGAGTACCTTTAATTTGTTTTATTTTAAGTAACTATCTCTCATTATTAGCAATTATAAAAAAAAAAGACTAAATATAACTTTTGAAAGACTTTGATAATTGAATAAAGAACAAAAAAGGAATGAAGTTTAATTTGGTCGAAAATTAATATCCGGAAATAATAATCAGAAGATATAGGCATAATATATCGTTGGAATACTGAGAATTTTAGAAAAAAATAATATCCAATATAGAAAGACGTAGAAGGTAATGGAGTGTACAAAAAAATTATAAACAATAATTTATAAAACTAAAATTATTTAACAAAAACCATATGTTTCCAAGTAAATTAAATGAAATGTAAACTTTTCAAAGTTATGTTGAAGTTTGAAAAAAAGTATTTAAAAATCGACCGAATAAAGGCAATTACATTGTTTAAAAAACTATTTCAGTGTACTTGTGTGAAAGGAGAAGCAAAATTTAAAAATATTTAAGAGATGCGTAAAACACATGATTTTAACCTTTGACACATTTACTGTAGTTTAATAACTGTAGATCCAATAATAAATTAAAAAAAAAAAAAGACTACAAAAATAGGGAAATTTTAGCTCAGTCAACGAAATTCCATCTTCTTATATATTATTTCTCAAATATATATCCCTTTTCCGGCTCTGAGGAGTGATGGATTTTGACGAATGAGGTATCAATAGAAAGGGAATATCACGTAGAGTAATTTGTAGGTTTCAACTCGAAATTCCATACTTGCTGGGCCAGGGACATGGATCTTCCGACCACAAAGCACCAGGTGGCGTACCTCCAAGCTTTGTATCTTCGGTTCCTCACGGGATACTAATTATAATTTTTGTGATAAAAATTGGTAAATATTAGGTGCTAAATATTGGCATAGGGTTCAACTCG